AAAGACATTTTCTATGCTTTGATTTTTAGTCTAGAGAACAGGGCAGAATCAGCTAAATATTAGACATTGTGTTTCTTCTAGGGCCTTCCATGTGTAAAACCTACTTGTCTTAAGAAGAGCCAAACAATTTGGGATTTTCTGTGTAGGTTGTTAGGTTGAGAACTTTATTTTTTGTGACCATTTCAGCTGATGGTCTCACCTGTAAAATAAAAAAACAAAACTCAAAATAGCATCAAGCAACACTTTCACTGTGCCCTCATCAACACAAATTTAAAAACAAGGGCAGAAATGTCACTGAAAATATTTCTCTCACAATCCTTTTTTTTTAAGATAGGGTTTTACTGTGTTGCCCTGGCTGTCCTGGAACTCGCTTTGTAGATCAGGCTGGCCTCGAACTCACAGAGATCCGCCTGCCTCTGCCTCCCAAGTGCTGGGATTAAAGGTGAGTATTTTATTTTTTTATTTTAATTAATTTATTCTTTTTTGAGACATCGTCTGACAGTTAGCCCTGGCTGGCCTAGCATTCGCTACATATATAAAATCTAGGCTGGCCTTCTCACAGAGACTCTCCTGCCTTTTCTAGGATTGAAAGCATATGCACAAGCCCTGCAGTCTTAGAATATTTTAGATGATGCTTGGAGGTGAGATGGACATAGATAAAGAATGGCTTCTGTGGAATGTTACTGGGTGAGGCAGGCAGGGTGGCCAGGCAACCCCATTAATCTCATTGTTAGGGAGGTAGAGGCAGGTGGCTCTCAGTTCAAGGTCTACAGAGCAAGTTCCAGGGCAGGCAGGACTGTATTAGAGAGACCTTGTCTCAAAAAACAAACAACAACAAAATAAAAAGATTGGGTTTTAGGACTCAAAATGGCTTCATTTTCTTATTGACCCTCTTCTTTTTTGATCATGTGAGTTTGTTTCTTCCATTTCTGTTGACTAATATTTGAATTGTGTTTAAAGGCAAAGGAAACCACCAACTAATTAAGCTTTATAAAGATCGGAATCTTACTGTTTTGGTGACCTGGGAGATACAATTATTAGTTTGGAAAAGGGACAAATTTATATCCTAGTTTCAACTCCTTCCTCAGTTTAAGTATTTGCCAATTTTCATTTGTGACCTGGGTGACCTCTAGTCCTGAAGAGTTCCCAACTTGGGGCCACCTGTTAGCTTTACAGTTGTGTGTGTCAAGGAGGAGCCTTGGGTCTCTTT